GGGAGGAGAGAAGGAATCCCAAGCAGGCTCTGCACTCATTGCAGAGCCCAATGTGTGGCCTCATGATCCTGAGATCATGACCTGAGCCAAAATCAAGAATTAGAGGCTTAACTGACTGAGCCACCCAGGCACCCTGAATATACGTTTTTTTTTAAATTGACAGATTGTTGGACATGCTTGATATTATCAAAAAACCTCGTAAAGTTGATTCCTATAGTTATGTTATAATAACTTTGAATAAGGTTCAAATCCTATTCTCCTATCCTGTTGTCTGTGTAACTTTGGACAAGGCACTTTAATCTCTCTGTACCTAGTTTCCTTTTTTGGAAAAATTAGAAAAAAAATAATACTTGTTACTGGGAGGAATAAATGAGATAACGCATATAAAACAGCCCAATTCCCAGCAAACTCCTATAGTATCATTAATGAAAAAAATTTAATATTCATCATTTCTCCTGGTTCTTGGTTCTTCATATGTAGTGTATTCCCAGGCAGCTCAGGTCTTGGGTGTTGGTGCTGTGAAGCTATCTCTGTGTTTCTGTTGGGCCTTGTAGGTGATCCTGAGGGGCCCCAGTAAAGGTAAGGAAAGACTGAGAGGCTGTTTCTGTGACTAATGTGGTTGGTCTTTGAGAGTCAGTTGTTGTCAGGTAACATTTGAGGCTGAATTGCACTCAAACATACACATTAAGCACCTATTAATGTGAGTTGGTGTGTGAATTGCCATTCACAAATACTAGTAGTTTCCTGACAAGGAGCGCACAAGGGGTTAACGCATATTTCAAGGAGAGTCAGTTCACGTACCTTTGTTACTGTTATCAGTCAGGGCTAGCTTCTGTTTTTCTTAGACTGTCTGAGCCACCAACCTACTTACTTCATACTAAAAGGTTAAAAAGGTGTAGCTCTAGTGTGAAGACACTTTTCCCTATGCCACTGAATAAGTCTGTTTATTTATTAGAGAGTAATCATCTACTACTTTTTCACATTCCTTAATAAAAAATAAAGTGGACAGAAGCATTTTCTCTTCTCAGCTTTTATCTTTTACCATCTTAAATCTTACAGGAAAGTTGTTTCGGGCAGCAAAATTATTAAGACTTTCTTTCTTGCCTTACAAATATGAAAAATGATGGAGAGTTTTTAGTTTCTAGATTGATTTTTTATTTTAAAATTAGAAGACCAGAACTGTAGTAAAAACACTGGCAAGAGTTTCAGGTAACTAATATGATTATTAGAAGTTTAAATATTTAAGAATAAGAACCTCAATTGCACAATTGTTTTATATACAAAAGTGGTATTACCAAGCTAATCCCATCTTGTAGGCTTTTCAGTTTTGCTAGTTTCTTTTCTAGGAAATGGTATGGATTTTTTATTTATATGTTTTGAAATAAGGTATCTCAGAGAAACTGGTTTTTAATTCTACATGTGCCCTAGAAAATACTGGAGCATACAGAGTGACTTTCATTCTTTTGCTCTTGGTACCAAAGAAAATTTTTTACTGTATGCTTCACTGCCTTTTCCTTCAGCTAATGCTCTGAGTTGCTTTAAGGAATGTAGTTCCCAGTTATCTAATTAGTCCCAGAAAGCAGTAAGGAAACTCTAGAAATCTGACAACAGAGAATCTTCTACAACTGCCACATAATACGAGCCCCAAAATTCTAAGAACAGTTTAGAATCTTTAAAAAGAATCTTGACTTAAGTCATCCTTCTGGAAGATGGATCCTTCTAAATCTTAGAGGACTTGATGTTTTAGAAAACCCTTAGAATTTTGAAGAAAAAGAAAGAAAGAAACCCTATTTACTGCTAGAATTGCGTTTGACCTGGAATTATAACAAAAATGTATTTGTCATTGTTTTGGTTACATAGATATGTAGGGTCATCTTTGTCTACCTGTAAATCCAGCAACGGAGCGGTCACACACATATGTAACGATAGATTTGGCTTCACTATTCAAGTTAATTTATAATCATCTAATGTGGTTTCAGGTCTTTGATAATTCATCTTTAAGAAATGATTTCCACATCCATGTTGGACTTTACCCATAAATCCAATTTGGAATACATTCATCTTATTTCTTAGAATATTTGAGTTTTTTCCTTAGTGTTGTTAATGAAGAAATATGTGTATCTGAAAAGAAGTGGAATTATCAGCAGCATCTTTAATATAAAGGGAAATATTTAAAAATATTTCCATTGTTACTACTGTGTCAATATTTATAATTAAGACTCTAGAGGTGCCTGGATGGCTCAGTTGGCTGAGCTTCCAACTCTGGATTTCTGCTCAGGTCATGATCTCAGGGTCCTGGAATCACACCACACATCAGGCTCCACGCTCAAGGGGAGTCTGCTTGGGATTCTCTCTCCCTCTCCTTTTCTCCCTGCTCGCTCACTCTCTCTAAAATAAATGTCTTAAAAACAACCTACCTAGGAATCATTCAGTTCTGAGAAAACTGGCATTACCTAAGGTACTTCGGTTATTTAAACAGTCAGATAAAGCAAATACTTTATTTGACTTCTGTGGAAATTAAATATGCATACTATCTCTAACCATCTAGTCCATTTTTTCTAGTTAAAAAATAACCTAGTTGAAATGATTACTGAAACATATAAACCTCATAAAAATTATTTTTATGATTTAACTATAGGGCATATAACCTAAGGTGTCCAGTAAAAAGTGTTTATTTCATTATTGGATCCACTTAAGATCATCTCTGGTCATTTAACTGTATGCTAGACATCATGAATTTTACTTTGTCGGGTGCTGGATATATTTGTATTTCTATAAATATACTTGAGATTTGTACTGGGATACAGATAAATTACTTGGAAATAGTATGATCCTTTTGGGTTTTGCTGGTGAAGATGACTTAAGTGGGACCAGAGCAGTGTTCAGAGAATTCTCATTCTTTCATTAATACTAACACAAGGCCCTATTGAGTACTCTCCCAATCCCAGGAATCCTGAGTTTTTCCAGTTAGGTGGAAACAGGTGCTCTTCCTGGCCCTGTATGGGTTCGGGGTACTGTTCTCTGTGATGCTTTTGGGTGGTTCTTTCCCTGGCTGTGGACAGTCTGTACCCTTGCTTTTGCGGCAGTACTGTGCTGAGTGCTTGAGGGAAAGCACGCGCAGACAGCTGTGGTCTCCCTCTGTAGAGCTCCCTCACTGGTGTCTGCCGTCTCTGGGACTCTCGCTGTCCTGGTCTCTCCAGACTGTGGGCTACCTCTCCTCAACCCAGTTGCTCTCGCTCTGTGCCTTACAGCTTTTAAACTCTAACCAGGCAGTAAGCTAGGGTTGCTCGTTTGTTTCCCATCAGTCAGAGATCATTGTCCTTGTTTTGACATCCAGGGTCTTGGGAACTGTTGTGTCCAATTTTTGACTATTTCAGAAGGAGGGCAAATCCAGTCCATTGTTTCAGTTTGGTCAGAAGCAAACTAATGCCATATTAAATCTTAAATGAATATTAGTCTTTTAGTTTAGTTTTTCAAAACAGAGGTAATGAGATGCTGTTATCTCCAAATGAGATTATTTTTCAGGGATCAAGCTCATGACTTAATCTAGGCAGAACCAGATGATTTCTTAACCCCTTCTAGCTCTAAAACCTGCTGTGGCAGTATCTTTTCATTACATTTAAAGCCGTGCTGTAATAAAGATTCAAGTTCAGACAATGTACAGTTATTATACCAAAATAACCTTTCATCTGTTATCTTTATCCTTCCCTCCCTCCCAACAAATGGTGACAATATAAGGAAACGGGTATTGAGGCACTGTAAATGGTCTCTATGCTCTTTTGGAAAACAAATTGGAACTATATATTAAAGGCATAAAAATCATTATATGCTTTGAATCAGTAACTTTATTTGTAGAATTATAGCCAAATCTCACATATATAAAAAGCTGTATATCTAGAAATGTTAATCATGGTACTAATTATAATGGGAAAAATTGGAAATAATCTTAAGTCATAATAGGTGTCCTGTGAGGGGTTAAAACCCAAAATATATAAAGAACTAGAACTCAACAGCAAAACCCCCAAACAACCCAGTTCAAAAATGGGCAAAGGACTCGAACAGATATTTCTCCCAATTAGATACACAAATAGCCAGTAAACATATAAAAAGATTTTCAGCATCACTAGCCATTAGGGAATGGAAATCAAAACCACAGTGAGATGACCACTTCATGCCCGTTAGGAATGCTGTCACAAAAAAGAACATGAAAAATGACGAGTGCGGGGAGTGGAGAAACTGGAACTAACTCTTATTTCTCAGGGAATGTAAAACAGTGCAGGGCTTGTGGACAGCAGGCAGTTCCTCAAAGTGTTGAGCACAGCATGACCCTGTGACCTGGTAATTCCACTGCCGGGTGTACGCCCCGAACCACTGGCCGCGCGGGCTCGAGCAGGTTCAAGCCCCCACATTCGCAGCAGCAGCATTCACAAGAGCCAAAAGGAGGGAACAGCTAAAATGTCCAGCAACAGATGAATGGATAAAATGTATTATCTCCGTGCAAGAGAATATAAAAAGGAGGGAAATTCTGAAACATGTTACAACTTGGATAAACTCTGCTAAGTGAATCAGCCAGACACAGAGGACAGGTACCAATTCCACTGGGAAAGGATGCACTCATGGGAGGTGCCCTGAGTAGTCAGACTCAGAAAAGGAAAGCACCAGAGCTGATGCGGAGCTATTGTTTAATGGGTACAGAGTTTCAGTTTGGGATGATAAAAAAAAAAATTCTGGAGATGGATGGTTGCATACGACTTTGAATGTACCTAATGCTACTGAACTATGCACTTAAAAATGGTTAAGCTGAAAAAAAAATGGTTAAGCTGGTAAATTTTACGTTATGCATATTTTACACTAGAAATCAAGTCTTCGTCTTTAATAAGTGTGTGTGTGTGTGTGTGTGTGTGTGTGTGTGTGTGTGTGTGTAATGAAGTATTCCGCACTCCAGGAAAGAGTGGCCTATGGAGCGCTCATCAGACCCTCCCTCTCTTGTCCCTCTACAGGAGTGACACACGCGGCCATCTGGGCAGCCTGCATCTCTTACCTCAGCGCAGCCGTCCCCCCCGAGCTGAGGACCTCTGCTCAGGGCATCCTGCAGGGCCTTCACCTGGGCTTGGGGAGAGGCTGTGGTGCTATGATCGGAGGCCTATTAGTCAATTACTTTGGTAAGAATGGCTTTTCCCCTTTTCTCTTTCTTTGTTGAAAACTTACGATTCTTCAGCAGCACCTCAGCAAACACTCAGATTATTACTAAGATTGCCAGAGGCCAAACTCCCGGATTCGTACGATCTTACTCACTTTCACTGTAGTCGTCATCGTGAAACCGGGTACTCAAGTCCTTAAGATGGGCAGCGCCAGCCCGTACCTGTGCCCGCTTCGATGACAGGCTAATGGGCGCTACACGGATACCTCAAAGGAGCCAAACGATGAGGAAACGCCAGTGCTTTGGGGTTGGAGCAAAGTACCCTAAACCTGCTGATCATGATGCTGGAGGAGAGAAAATTAATCCTTGTTATTGCAGAAAAACCTGGCTACTTGCTGCCTTTGGTAGGTCACTGCCTCTCTGACAACAGTCTGTCCTGTCCGATCTTCCTTTCGGACACCCCAGGGTGGGTTGGAGAAGAGAGGACCCTGCACCAGGCATCTGCGCTGCTCAGCCACCGGGGAAGGCGGCCCAGGGTGCCGGAATTTCCAGCAGTATTAGAGCGTTGCTGTTCCAGCCGCTGATTAATAGGGCTGCTTGGCAGGTGAATGGTCTTTATGAAGAGAGCACCGCTGAGTTTTATGGTAAGAGGGACTCAGAGACAATCCTTTATAAATGTAGTTTTAAAATCTGATGACTGACCAATCCAATAGCCGCATCTGGGGCTCCTGGCACCTACCAGACCTGTTGTCCACTGTACGAGGGCAACGGTTAGTCATCTTCTCTGGTTCGTCCCAAGCGCTGCTGCCTCTGGCCTGGGCTTCGGCGCCTGGGCAGTGCGGGATGAGGGCTCTCTGTGGTTCCTGGAATTATCCGCGTGCGCTGCCTGTTTCCACAGGGGCTGCCGCGACATTTCGAGGAATCGGCATGGCCTGCCTGGTGATCCTCCTGCTTTTTGCCCTGATCCAGTGGCTGGCAGTGCCGGAGGAGGAAGAAGGTAAGCCTGTCCGTTCTCGCCTACTGGGTCCTAAGGCTGAAGCCCGGAGAATTCTATACGTAGCCCTCGTATAGGGCTACAGCGGTGCTAACAGACCCGCCTGGCTAGATTTTCTCAGGGGTGTGCATCAGCGAATTTTTGTGTACCACTGCGAGGGAGAAGCTATCTCCTGTGTGGAAACGGATGCTGGTCATTTGAAGTAGCTCGGGATTTTCTTGTTTTTGTTTTGTCTTGTAGTACAAGGAGTGTGGGAAGAACTGGTTTTAAATTCCTTTGGCATTCTAAAGGAATGTCAACTTCAAATCACATACATTCGACCGATACAGTAATTTTACTCCTAGGGATGGGAGTGGTATTAATTGCTAAGCTTTTACATTCATTTGAAAAACAGTATCTGAAAACTTAAATTTGAAGTTTTCCCTTACCCAGGCATGACCCTTATTAAAATTGTCACACAGGAAGGAGGTTATTTCAAATATAATGTACAAGTTGAATCATTTTTTTTTTTTTTTTTTTTTAATGAAGAAAACCAACCAGTGATGGAAATACTCTTGCTTAGATCTTGGATCCCAGAACAAGGCTCATCTTTGGTGTCCTATTCTTCTTTTCTTTTTAAAGATTTTATTTATTTATTTGAGAGAGAGAGAGAGGGAGAGAGAGAGCATGCGCATGAGCAGGGGGAAGAGGTAGGAGAAGAGGGAGAAGCAGACGCCCTGCTGAAGAGGGAGACTGATGCTGGAACCCTGGCATCATGACCTGAATCAAAAGCAGACACTTAACGGACTGAGACACCCCAGTTCCCCTGGAGTCCTATTGTTTAAGGAGAATTTGCCTCAGGCACCTCAAGTGCTTGTGCTTAGGGAAAAACTAGCTTGTTACACAAAACCCCAGAGGCAGATTTTAATGCTAACAGGTTATACGGAAAGAAAGACAAATGCTGATTTTTCTTACTTTAAAAAAAAAAAAAAAATCCTAAAGGGATTATACAGTGTTAGTCCAGGCCTTTAGTAAAAGGCCAATAAAAATAGCTATTACTGTTTAGATGCTTTTCTTTAAAGACTCAGTCCTGTAAGTGGGCTTAAGACCACATTCATGATAACCCATGCCCACAGATTAAATTATATCTAAGAGTAATAAGTAATACATTCCATAAACAAATACAGTGTCTATTACCACCTATAAAGAGATCTGGAAGGTAAACATCACATCTGTTATTCAGTACTTGCACCAAGAGGCCCTTGATACACAGCAATTTAGTTAGTAATGTCGCCAAGTACTCTAGAATGGGCTTCTGGGATTGTCTGCTTATTTATTTTTATATTTGTTTAAATACGTAAAAACTCTGAAAAATGATTTAAACATGATTTTCTCTCCAGACAAGACAATGCTGGCAGAAAGGATTCCTGTTCCCTCTAGTCCTGTTCCCATAGCAACCATCGACTTGGTACAGCAGCAGGCGGAGGACGTCCTGCCGCGCGTGGAGTCCAGACTTCCGCCCAAGAAGACCAAACACCAGGAAGAACAGGAGGATGTGAACAAGCCGGCCTGGGGCGTCAGCTCCTCTCCCTGGGTGACCTTCGTCTACGCGCTCTACCAAATTAAAGAGATGGTGCAGCTGATGAGAGACAGCCGCGCCCCCGAGATACAGCCTCTACAGGTAAAGGTGCTCCCCCAAGGGGCTCAGCTGTGGTGCTCATACAGCAGGGTTCATGGAGTCTGGCGGGCGAGACAGGCAGGCGGACAGGTAGTTGTGGTAGTCTGTGACGAGGGCGCTACAGACGTGGACACACGGTTCTGCAGAGGGAAAATTCTGCCTTATGGAGCTCAGGAAGGCTTCCCAGAGAAGATATTTCTTAAAGAAAATAAATATAAGACATTGTACATTTCTTTAAAATTTCAGTGTTGACAGTTCCAGTGACGATATATGAGTCTTGCCATGGGAGACCGTTACTTGTGACTCTCTATAATTCTGAAATTATAGTGAGGGCATTATATATGCTAGGACTTCAGTAACTATCTGATGAATTCGTACCCTGAGCCACCGTAGGAGTCTAACGGAATCCTCAGCTTGGGGAAGTGTTGTTTGCCTGGTGGCCTCACGTGAAAAATTGTTTTTTTTTTCCTCATCCCTAGAGATGTGGTCCCTCCTGAGTAAAGTCAGATCATGTTGCTCAAACGGTGTGGGTGACTGTTAACTGATTCTATATTCCGCCTTTGGAAACGATCAAGTGTGACTTCTATGAATAGTTCGGCTGAAGTAATGAGTCTACTTCCCTGTTTACATTAATCACATCCTTTTATTTGATGAGTCATGTCAGCTCTATATCTAGAGTAGCTTCAGAGGACACAGAGGAAAGACAAAAATAAAGAGTAATTGGATAATTTCTCTTTTACAAAATTTGAACTACCTTAATTAAATTTATCATGACTTTATAAACCTAACATGTAATATTTCCATAACGTAAATCAGATCTGATTGCTCCCCATGTCGTAGCGCACCCTGATCCACGCACCATCTTGCTCACTGTCAAGATTATAAACTCACATGAACGTCCTGCTCAGTCAGAGAGGAGAGTCTTGGGGGCGGGAGGAGTGTATAGAGGACGCAAAGCAGAAGAAAGGACAAGATCTGCCACGCGAAGGGCGGTGTCTTCATTACTCGGGGCACTCGTCCTCCTTTTCACGGAAGCCTGGTGGGCCTCCATATCATCATCACATTTGTTTCTCTGTAATGTCAGGATTACGAGAAACTGGCTGGGATGGCTTAGTTATTCTTAAAAGTAAGAAGTCATATTAAGATTTCTTTACATTTTAGAATCTATCACAGAGTAAATCACAGAATTAAAACATTTTCTGTGCTAGTCAGCTATTTGAAGTGATGTATAGTGACTCAGAGGAAAATGTGTTTTTAAAAACACACGTTCCCGGACTGTGGCGATGGGGCATCTTACAGATTTGCTGGGGGAGAAGCGTTGCAGCACGTGCCGACTCACATCACTTACAGCTGCTGACCCGAGTGCTGCTCCCGATCCCCTTCTTTACGCAGATTTCTGTCTTGTTTAACTTAACGTGTACACTTTAAATCCCAATATTCATCAGGATTCTGAATTTCGGGACACCTTCTGCTGGCCTTGTCTCTGAGGCGGAGAATGCCTCACTTACGTCCAGCAGGTGCTCCCAGCTCTTGAGTTCTGTGGTCTCAGCCAATGGCCCGAGTTTCAATTCCATGCTGCTTGCTCAGTGACTTGTCACCACGGTGGAGGCTCAGTAAATATTTGCTGATGTAAATTGTCTTCCTCGTGATACCAGGCATTTTGGTAGTGATGTTCCTTCATGCACAAGATACGTCTGCTTAAAGTGTTTGTGTTTTTCATGCGGCTTTGGCAGTTGCACATAGGAAAGGAGATGAAAGGTAAGATGTTCTATCTTTATTCCTCTCTCATTTGTTCCCTGAAGTTACTTCGGGATGATCTCCCCATGTTTCTTATAGCTGACCTGAAGGCATATAAAAAATGTTGGATTTATTTGAAAGCAGCCCTGACTACAGAACATCTTCTCTTTTTTTCCTTCCAGGGGACCAGTGAGAATCGGGAAAATTCTCTAGCTGGTGGAGTCCGGCCTGTCCCACGTGAGACTCACTCTGACCCATCTAGAAACCAGCCATCCCCTCAAGCAGCAGCATCTCAGATGCGGAGCGGCCCCACTCACCCCAGTGTGGCCCAGCGTGTGGAGGAGAGGGAGGACCAGCAGGCTTAGCCTGCCGCTGGGGGACACTGAGGGCGCCACTCATCTCACACCCTGCATGGAACCGGGCTCCTCTGCCGGGACAGAGGGAGAGGCTCCCCGAACCTAAGACATGCCTCATCGTGAGAAGCATAGCACTGTATACGCTTCTAAATACCTAAACTCATCAACATGGAAACACACACACACAGGCGCTACAGTACATACTGGCAGGAACAGGTAAACTCCCATAATCCCGTGGGACTCGCAGAAGGGGAATGGGAGTTCGGTGAAGACGTCCAGCTCCCCGGCTGGTCAGGTTCAGGACTATAGGACTTCCTCGCCAGTGCAGTAAGGGTTGAAAGCAGCAGTTACACTAAGTGGAGGGAAAGGAAGTGTTTCAAGGTGAATGCTGATACAGTTTCCCTCTTCTGATTATTTATTCTAATTATTTGGTTCTTAATGCAAACTGGGAAGAAATAAAATATAATTTTGAATCTCTTAAAGAGAACTGTTTCAAAAATGACATGACATATTTAAAAAAGTAGCCAGATAAGAGTTACTAGCTTATATGCTTTTGTTTAAAAAAAAAAAAAAAAAGGAAAAAGTTTCATTAGAAACTTGGCATATCTCTAGCAAATATATTTTTATATGTATATGGTATATAATGAAAACAGTCAATTCTTTGAGCAGCAAAAGCCGCATTGACTACTGCAAACTAAGCTGAGCTTTAACATGCCTTTTGTTTTAAATGGGCTTTAAGACCAGAGGAGGAAATACTTCAAATCAACCAACCAATTCAGTATCCTGTGGCTTGACAGACAAGGGTTTACTAAATATTATTGATACTGTATATAGCCTCTATCACTATTCAATAATTTTATAGTGATTTGGGCTCTAAGTAGCTGATGGAATTTAAAAAAGAAAATCACTGAATTCCTAAGGGTTTCTTTAATTAAACAGTACTATTTACAAATAACAGTATAAGATTTAAGTGCCTGGGAGAGGGATACAATTTTTAAAAATTACACAATGGTAAGTTTTTGTTTTGTTTTTGGTGAGGGGGAAAAGGTGGTGAATAGGAAGCCGGGAATGGGAAGGATGAGAATCAGTAACTGTACTATCCGATTACTGACGGAACAGATCTCAGTACGTTCTTTTCCATGAAGACTCTGTCAGACCCTAGACAGATCAGGGAGAGGGGTGCGCCTGTGAACATCACAGCTACGTCAGAACAGGGGCAGGGTGGCTCATGGGAAAAGCTGAGGATGGGAGGAAGCCTCGGGGGAGGGCTGCTGCTTTAGCCGAATGAAGGTCAGTAATGGTATGTGTGATAACTGAGTGAGCAGAGGAGGAAAGGACAGAACAGAGTTAAAAATGAGCAACTCACCTCACCTCTTGACCCTGATTAGACAGGATGAGTTGTGAACTGAGGGCTTCTCCGTGACACCATACTTCTGCCCAATACTGCAACTGGGAGAAGAAATTCTATACTTGGATGTCTAGCTTTGCCACAAAACACAGCTTAAAAATAAAATAACAGAAAGAAATAGAAGTAAGCAAATAGTTATTTTTGCACTTGAACTGAAACGTACTGTACTGTAAATTACCATGACTCATTTTAAGTGACCTTTAAAATCAGATGTATTTATTATGCTTATGTAATTATAGAAATAAAGAAATGGATGACGGGCTGAACCTCACCTATGAATGTACAGTATGTGGATTTGTGAAACTGATTTTAGGAAGTCAAAAACTTATACTGTGTCTTGTGTTTACAGTTCTGATTTATTCCTTTGAAAAGCCTGCTGTTTTGGAAATGCACAGTTGACATGTTGAAATAAAAATATCATTTTTAAAAATTTCTTAAATGATAAAGATGTGACCAAATAAAAGCCCTTTACTCTGCAAGGATGGAGACCCAGTCCAACAGGCCTTTGTTACGGAGCATTTACTATGCGAGCTGATGCGGTGATTTCTAGCCTTTTAGGACAGACGCCTTCATGGGTTTGTGGACTTCCTGACTTTTTCTTACTGTTGCCAAAGCACCATTTGCATTTTATTATTTTTTTTAATTTGCTATTTATTTATTTACTTTTTAAGTGGGCCCCACGCCCAATGTAGGGCTTGAACTCACGAGCCCGAGATCAAGAGTTAGACGCTCTACTGACTGAGCCGGACAGGCACCCTTTAAAAAATATTAAAATGGATTCAAATTAAAATGTGAGAATTTCATAACCTCCCTTGAGACTCCTGGAAATCCCCAGAGTTGTCACAAAGCCTGGGCTGATGTCATCACGGTCTTAATGTCTTCTTTCCTACACTTTCCGCCTGCAGAAAAAGTGAACGAACTGAGTGCCGAGTTGTGTGGATCCAAAGAGGTTCGTTGCTACTAAACTGTTACTCAAAACCCTTAGGAGAACGTTGCGCGATCAGACACACTAGCCGGGGAGCCGCGCCGCAACCCTCAGTCGCTCCTAAGAACCCGCTGCCGTCCCGTGAACCGATCGTGCCGCGGCCGCAGGAGTGGCGGCTGCGCGCCGCCCGAGCTGCCCTTGCGGGTGCCCGGGGCGGGGCCGCTGGGGCCGCGGGGACCAACACCTCGGCCGCGGTCCGCTGAGCCAGTCGCGTGAAGCCGTGAGTCTTGGACAAGGAGCGCCGCGGGCACAGTTCCGGGGGGCGGGGGGGGGGGGGCGCCGAGACCGACCTCCCATCCTTCCGTCCTTCCGTCCTACTGTCCTTCCGACCTTCCAACCTCCCGTCCTCCCGACCTCCCGACCTTCCGTCCTCCCGTCCTCCCGACCTTCCGTCCTCCCGACCTCCCGTCCTCCCGTCCTCCAGTCCGTCCGACCTCCCGTCCTCCCGACCTTCCGACCTCCCGACCTTCCGACCTCCCGTCCTCCCATCCTTCCTCCCGTCCTCCCGACCTTCCGACCTCCCGTCCTCCCGACCTCCCGTCCTCCCGACCTCCCATCCGTCCGACCTTCCGTCCTTCCTCCCGTCCTCCCGACCTCCCGTCCTTCCTCCCATCCTCCCGTCCTCCCGACCTCCCGTCCTCCCGACCTCCCGTCCTCCAGACCTCCTGTCCTCCCGTCCTCCCGACCTCCCGTCCTCCCGACCTCCCGTCCTTCCGACCTTCCGTCCTTCCAATCTCCCGTCCTCCCTCCCGACCTCCTGATCTCTCGTCCTCCCTCCCGTCCTCCCTCCCGTCCTCCTGTCCTCCCGACCTCCCGTCCTCCCGACCTTCCGTCCTTCGGACCTCTCGTCCTCCCTCCCGTCCTCCCGTCCTCCCGACCTTCCGACCTCCCATCTGTCCGACCTGCCGTCCTCCCGTCCTCCCGACCTCCCGACCTCCCATCCGTCCGACCTCCCGTCCTTCCTCCCGTCCTCCCGACCTCCCGTCCTCCAGACCTTCCGACCTCCCGTCCTCCCGACCTCCTGACCTCCCGTCCTCCCTCCCGTCCTCTCGTCCTCCCTCCCGTCCTCCCGTCCTCCCGACCTCCCGTCCTCCCGACCTCTCGTCCTCCCGACCTCTCGTCCTCCCGTCCTCCTGACCTTCCTACCTTCCGTCCTTCCGACCTCTCGTCCTCCCTCCCGTCCTCCCGTCCTCCCGACCTCCCGTCCTCCCGACCTCCCGTCCTCCCGACCTCCCGTCCTTCCGACCTTCCGTCCTTCCGACCTTCCGTCCTTCCGACCGCCCAGTGCGGCCGGCGCGGCCCGTCCCCGTGTCTTACCTCCTTCAAGGAGGCCTTCGGTCCGCCACCCCCTGCGGACACGGTGCCCCGACGTCACGAGCCCCGGAACCCGCCTGCGCCGCCTCGGCCGAGCTCCGGGAGCGCCGGGGTCGGGCACCCCACGCCGGCCGGACGCGCGGAGAGATGGGACGGAAAGACGGGCCGAGCCCGGGGCGCGGTGTCTCGGGCCCCAAAGCGGCGGGCCGTGCGCCAGGACGCGCGGCGGCCGCAGGAGCAGCTGGAAGCCGACTGGCGTGTCCACGGGGAGGGGCGAGCCGTCGGGGCCCAGTTCTCACTCGGCTCACACCGCCCCCGCGGCTCCGGGCAGATGTGCGGGGCAGCCGGGAGCCGCGCCGGGCTGGGGGTAGAGCGCGGGGTCTAGAGTCCTAGTCTGGCCCCGAGTCTCCGCTTTGCGGCGAGAACCCACGGACGCGGAGGCCCGGAGCCCTCCTCCGCCTGCCGCCAGCGACCGCAGCACCCACCTGCCAGGCGGCTCTGAGAATCGAGGTGCTGGTCACACTCGGTACGGCCGCCACGTGCGCCGCAGCCCCGGGCGAGAAGGTGCGGCTCGTTTCCCCACGTGGCGCCTGGCGCTCTCGGGAGCGTGTTCACATTTACACCTGCACCCGCGCTCTCCCAACTTCAGGGCCGCGTCCAGACGTTCGCCCGCACCCAGCAGGCACCCTGTTCCGACGTGCGGTGCAACGAGTCAGCTGCCTGCGGATCTGAGTTAGTTAAGACACAAAATTAAGCAAAATATAAATTGAAGAGCTGGGAAATGACAAGTAACGAAGGCAATTCTACGCTGTGCAAGAGCCACAGACAGGAAAGGGTTTTTTTTTTGTTTTTTTTTTTTTTAAGATTTTATTTATTTATTTGACAGAGAGAAATCCCAAGTAGGCAGAGAGGCAGGCAGAGAGAGAGGAGGAAGAAGGCTCCCCGCTGAGCAGAGAGCCCGATGTGGGGCTCGAACCCAGGACCTGGGACCATGACCTGAGCCGAAGGCAGCGGCTCAACCCACTGAGCCACCCAGGCGCCCCAACAGGAAAGGTTTTAAGACATTTATTGCAGTTTCTTTCTCTTCTAAGGGTGTCAAAAAATGTAAGCAAGAATTTTATAAGCATTTAACAAGTTACATACCTTTCTCTTTGCCAGAGAGCTGAGGCTATTACTGTAAACTTGTATTTTGAAAAGGTCAGGAACCTTCTGTTCCCTGGAAAGATCAATGGGGGTCTGGAAAAATAACATAGACCAGTTCTACTCAATTTAATTCTTTCTTTTTGTGTGTGTGTGCTTGATGGAAGGCAGGGGAATGGGTTCATTGCGCCAGAGCTGGCGTGCATCTGCCATCAGATGTCGTCATATCTTCAGCTGATTAGCTGTGCGGCCACCGACTTGACTAACTCTGTTTTTGGAAGATGGCAGTAAAGGCAACACAAAGGCATGGGCCCGACACACTGAGGCTCATGCTTTTATTCTACCACTTTAGCTACTATGTCCTTTGGCGACCTTCTCTGAGCCTGCCCTCAGCTGAAAAATGGAAACGATGCTACAGCATATTACAGAGTGATCAGAAGTCTAAATGAAGAGGCATAGGAAGGGCCCAGTACAGCACATGATACATCGCTAACAAATGCTGGTCCTCCTCCCCTTTCTCCTTTTGATTGCTGCCTTGTTGGAAAATGGATGAAATCTAAAAAGTAAACAGATTCCCCCAAACAAATTAAGAAACAAAGAGCAGCTACCCAACTGAATGTATCTCCCATTTATCCTAGTAAACATACGCTCAACACTCAACCCACATCTCCGGTGACCTATTAGGATACCACACTCAGAGGTCATAGCCAAAGAGACATAGTTTCCTGAAAAAGGTAACTAGCCTCCTGCAGACTTCAACAACATATCTGAACAAAGACCATGCCCAGTAGAAGTGGGTGGAGATGCGGGTCAATGACCAAAAAAATACAAAAACAACAATCGCAGAAGGAAAAGCTGGTAGGGCCTGCATAAGGGAAGGG